GTGTTCTGCTGAGAGGTGAGGAGTCCTGGAATAACTTTGAAAATAGATCTCAGGATGTGGTGACTAGTCAATTTCAGGCATCCTGTTTCTATGTTTCAGTATTGGAAGATTATGTTTAAGGGAAGAAAAGGAGTCTAAAAATATTTATATATTTATATATAAATTTATATACTTACATATAAATTTATAAAGTATAGAAAGTATACTTTATAAAGTATAAAGTAAATTTATAAAGTATATAAATTTATATATTTATATATTCATACATTTATATATTTAAGGGAGAAAAGGAGTCTAGTTTGGAAACAGGTGAGTTTGAGATGATTGTAGACATTCACAATAATTAATTGGCAATAGGTCCTAAAGCTCAGGAGAAAGGTGGAAGATGGAGATGTAAATCTGAGTCCTTGGCATTCTAGGGGAAACTGAATTGCCCCTAGGATATGATGTCATCTTCTCAGAAGTGCAGAGAAGGTAATGCCATAACTTTTAGTGTCATATTTTATGACAGTGAATTGTAAAGTTTGTCTTTCACATGTAAAAATTTCTATTCAAGTTAATCAACTTTTTTTTTCATTCTTTTGTGTGTTAATGATCAGCATGATGGTACTTGCTAATGAAGGAAATGATCACAAGGACAGATAGAAATGGAGTATCTAATTTTGATATTGTTCTTGGTGTTACATGCCTTTTATTTATAAGATTTTAAAAAGAGCACCTCAAAATGGTCATGTTAAATGTGATAATAATGTTCTACTTGTTAGTTGGTTTTTACAGTATTCCTGCTGCAAAAATGTTCATCAATTCTGGTTTAGATTTTTCTGGAAATTTGAGAGCTTAAGAAAATAGTCCTCCAAACTATTGAAAGTAAATTTCTTTTTGATACTTCGAAGACCTTAAAAACTCCTAAAACTATCAACACTATCCAAGGGGAAATGGTTAAGTTCTAATTGTCAACAAATAAAAAATAGCTTCTTTTAGAAATGTAGCTAGGTTAAAAAACAATGTTAACATTTGGTTTGACTTTTATATAAGAGCAGAAGAAAGAGATTTCAGTAATTTTGTGGGTTGGGGGCTACATGTAAAAATTCAAAACTAAGTAGCCATAAAAATAGACCTTGTTTCCATGGTAACATAAAAGCAAAGCAATAAAACACAGGAAGGGCAACTCTGAGAATAAAATCCTAAAATCTATTCTTTATTAAAGTGAACAAGATGAAAATTTAAACCTGTCCCTAGCCTAGAAGTATTAAATTCCATCAAAGCAGAATTCATAATAATAGAGGTGACAGTTACATTTTTTTCGTTGTATATCTTTGTTTGAGTAACAGGAGTGGCAGTTCATTGTTTTGAGATCAATAATACCAAAAGATGCGTTGCAATTTTTTTTTTCTTTTGAGACAGTTTTTACTCTGTTGAGTATCCTGGTGATGTCATCATAGCTCACAGCCACCTCAAACTCTAGGGTTCAAGGAGTCCTCATGCCTCAGCTTCCTAAATAGCTGGGACTACAGAAGCCTGACACAACGCCTGGCTAACTTTCCTTCCTTCCTTCCTTCCTTCCTTCCTTCCTTCCTTCCTTCCTTCCTTCCTTCCTTCCT